CAGCAAGTCCCAAATGCCAAGGTCTATTTTCCCCAAACCTCTCCAGGATTTTCTGTTAACCATTGGAGTTCTGCAGGCCAAGTTTGGTTCAATTGCATTGTTGTTGGATTTCAGAATACTCTTTGATGGCTGGGGCTGCCATTCATCTTCCGGTCCCAATTCAAGGTGCAGGTGCTCACCTACAAAGCCCTAAACGGTTTGGGACCTGCCTACTTGCATGACCGTATCTCCGTTTACGAACCCGCACGCTCCCTCCAATCATCTGGAGAGGCCCTGCTCTCGATCCCACCTGCGTCGCAGGCGCGTTTGGTGGGGACGAGGGACAGGGCCTTCTCTGTGGTGGCCCCCCGACTCTGGAACTCTCTCCCCAAGGACATCAGACAAGCCCCAACGTTGGCTGTCTTTAGGAAGAGCCTGAAGACCTGGCTGTTCCAGTGTGCCTTTCCAGAATAGGAAACTCCTGGCTTCAAGTCCCAAATGCACCTTGCTAGAGATTCAGGATTGTCTGCACATTGCACCTACCTCCAAATACCTCTACATATTACCTGTCAAGTTCAGCACTTTTTAAATTTTGTCCATTACATTTGGCCCGGCCCTTGGTTTTAACTGCGTCACGGTGTCATTGTTTTGCTTGATGTTTTATTATTTGCTTATGAGTTTATTGTGTATTGTATGTTGTTGTTGCCGGCGGCCTTGGCCTTTGTAAGCCTCATCGAGTCCTTCGGGAGATTTTGCAGGGTATAAATAAAGAATAATAATAATAATAATAATAATAATAATAATAATAATAATAATATTCCAGCAACTCCTAAATGCCAAGGTCTATTTTTCCCAAACTCCACCAGTCTTCAGATTTGGGCATATTGAGTATTTATGCCAAGTTCTGTCCAGATCCATAGTTGTTTGGGTTCACAGTGCTCTCCAGATGTAGGTGAACTACATCTCCTGTAAATCACTGTCAATTCCCCCCAACCCCCTCCAGTATTTTCTATTGGTCATTGGGGTTCTGTGTGCCAAGTTTGGTCCAGTAATTTGTGGGGGTCTCAGTGGTCTGTGGAAGTTAGAGCTGAATTGGTTGAAGGTACTGCAGATCCCATCATCCGTTGTCCATGCTCCCCCAAACATGTTGTTTCTGTGATTAATCACTATGCTTTAATTATGTTCAACTTGTAACAATGAAAATACATCCTGCCTATCAGATATTTACATTACAATTCATAACAGTAGCAAAATTACCGTTATGAAGTAGCAATGAAAATATGGTTGAGGGTGACCACAACATGAGGCACTTTATTTAGGGGGTCACAGCATTAGAAAGGTTGAGAACCACTGCCTTATATGGATGCTATTGGAATTTTGCAAGCATTGTCATTTTTTAAAAACCACAAAATGGCCTTGAGAACCCAAACTTCTGTCCATAAAACTTTGCAGATTCATGATGCTTCTGCATGCTTCTCAAATGCTGCATCGACTTGGCAACAAGTTCTGGGATAGCAGGTATAGTCAGCTGTCCGTATCCATGGATTTCACCCTCCGCAGTTTGGAAACATTCCCAAGAAGGAATTCCAAAGAGCAAAGCTTAATGTCGATATTATAAGGAACACCGTGGCTTGAACAATACCCTGGAACCAAATCCCATGTTGGAGCTCAGCCTGTGATTGTGTTTAAGGACCAGGGTGCTTTAGATGTGGTGAGTGATGACAATGAGTCTTGTCAATTACCCGGAGATCCCTGTTCAAAGTGTAGTTTCCCATGAGAATGTCCCTGAGGGGTGTGGGAGTGATAGTGTGCTCCCTGAAATGCTACCAGAGAGTTCCCATGATTTAGGGCTTGAGAACAGCTCAGCACCTGGCCCAGCTGCAGAAATTAATGAGCAAATAGATATACAGGAGGAGATTAGTCAAAACAGAAAAGCCGAACAGTGGCTTCGACGTTCTGCCAGGCTCAGAGAGAAAAAGATAAGAGATTCCGATGGACCTGAGGGACCGCCTCACCTCCTCCCAACCCCAGAGATCCCTCTGTTCTGAGGACCAAGATCTATTGGAAATTCCCAGTGTCAAGACCTTGCGTCTAACAGCAACCAGACGCAGAGCCTTCACAGCAGTGGCACCATCACTCTGGAATACTCTGACACCTGAAGTCCGTGCCTTGCGGGACCTATCAGCTTTCCACAGGGCATGTAAGACATATCTGTCTTTGACAGGCCTTTGATCGTTGATATTGTTGTTTTTAAATTGTTTTTAAATTGTTTTAAATTGTTTTTACACTGTGTTAGATTTTAGCCTGTTCTTGTAAGCCGCTCCGAGCCCCAGGGGAGTGGCGGCATATAAGTTTGAACAATAAATAAATAAATAAATAAACTAAAGTGAAACCAATTTCTGAGTGCTTGGGACATAGCTTAACGAGGAGATAAAAGTCCCAAGTACAGGAGATGTAGTCAGATGAAGCATCATTTGGAAACAAGTCAAGATCTAGTCCTTGTTTCTTGGAAGCTTTGCTTGGCAAGATTCATGCTTAAAGTGCCTTGTTTCATGGTTTTCATTCTTGGATTCTATTATTTTATGTTCATGCCTTAGATTCATGTTCCCTGGTTCCTTGGACTTTATTGGAGAAGTTTTGCCTTTGTTTTTCATGGACTTTGAAGGACTATTACCTTGGACTACGTTGTTCTGGCTTATCTTCCTACCTAATTGGATTTACCAATTCCTTTAAAGTGCTTTTTACTTTTCTGCTTTTTAATTATCTTCAACAAAAGGATTGTTTTCCTACTCAACTGTGTGGTGTTTAAAGTCAGAGGGCTTTTTCCTGGTCTGGAGTGCAACACCCCATTGGATATCCAAAGGCCCACCTGTTGTGGCTGAGCTAGTTTCTGACTATGAGGATGATGGGATTCAGATTCCTGTTGGGTTTCAGCTTCCTGGCTCTTTGTCTGTGCCTCAAATCTCTGAGCCTGCTTCCGAGGCTCTCACAGACAGTGCAGTGTCAACACAGCTGTTTTCACCAGAAAGGAATTTTAATGACGGGAATAGCGAGCAGGTGCCTTCCCACGATGATACCGAAAGTGTAAATAAGGATTTGACCAAAGAAGCTCGCCTTGATCTCTGGGTCAGGTGGAGTTCGGGTCTGGCAAGCAGACGGGAGGCTAGCTCGGTGCAAGGTCATCGCAATGCTTTTATGATGCTGAGAGCCTAATATTTTGATGTTAGAAAGGTATTTAGGCCTCCTGGAAACTCTGTGAAAGCGTCAATTGAATGTAGCTTATTAGCCTGGAAGCTTCATGGAATAATCTTAGCCTGGAAAGCAGTACGCTTGGGATTTCTTGCATTGTGTTTCTTGGGGCAATTGTTTCATTGCTTGTACCTGGGACTCTGGTTTGAACTTTGCCAATAGGATTGTGTCTCCTGCTTTTACTTGAAGTTCTTTGGAACTGTATTCTGCATTTAACCTTAATCTCTGGGACTTTGCAATGCTTATTCTTTATTTTGACTTGGATTTTTTCCTCAATACACTATAAAACTACAGCTCTTGTGTGGTGGTGTTTAGAAGCAAGCCTACTCTGAGTTGCAACACCACCACACCAGGAATCCCGGAACCAAAAACATTTGTAGTTTGCTTAAACTCAGGAAAGAAAAGTCTCTTTTGCCCAAGGTCTCTTTTAAAATGTATTTCCACTTTTATTTGTTTTCCTTTTTATCTCAAGTGACACTTGCATTCATTCCCCTGAGCACCACAATCCAGGACTGCTGGACTGACTCCAAAACATACAAGGAAAAAGGGAGAGAGAACAAGAGAACGAGAAGGGGACAAAGGCCGGCGGGGAAGCATTACGAACACTGCGAAAGGAAGTTCTAGCACTACCTGCCAAGCACAAGGAAGGAGAAAGACACAAGATACAAAAGAGAGAGACAGACACGAGATGGTCAACCGCTTCCTTCCCAGTCCCTCCAGGAAAACCAAGTGCCCAAACCGGGTCCGATCCTCGGTCCAAAGCTTAAAACTGTCCGACCGGCTTTAGCACCCAAACCCTGAACCAGGATCTCCAAGTTTGCATGTGGATCTTCCGAAAGGACTGATGCCTTGCGCCGCATTCATTTCTGCAGAGAGAGGGATCTCCAAAAGCTGGATTTGCCAGCAATGCACAGGTTGCTGGCCATCTATGGCCCCCGTGGCAACGGCAGTGCATCCACATCCAACGCAAGAGGCGGCAGGGAAAGAAAAGAGCATGTCTTAGGTCCAGCGCATGATTGTGTTCCAATTGTCGAGGAAGGAGGAGCAGAGGCAGGAATGGAGAGCTGGGGCCTTTCAACGTTAGAACGTTCATCTTTACATTTGTGTTTGGAGTTTCCTCCGGGGCGATATCAACAAAGGAAACCAACCCGCTGTGTCCGTAAAGCGTCCGAATATTAGCTTTACCTCTTTTTGCTTCCACCCGCAGGTGCCGTTTGGAGAACCCAGCACCCTCACATCCCACCCCACCCGTTGGCACGTCATAAAGAACATGAGGTAGATGAAATCAGTCCTTTCTTTGGTACATTTACACTTTTGCACTCACACAAAAGAGTTCCCCCAAACCCACCCCCACCCCAAAACCCCAGCCATTTGAAAGGAGGTGAACTTCTGGTTGCTGCTCTTCAAAGGCCCACCTGCTTTCCCTTCCATCCCAATCCCAAGTGTGAAAAGTGCACTGAGGTCATGGATTGTGCGTTTGGTTCCCTGATGGGTCGCCCCCTTCCCATTGTGAGAGTGAGGTATCTGAATTGGGGGGAAGGAGAAGGAGACGGGAGAGGGCAAGGACATGGCAAAGGAGCCATGGCAGTGGAGAACATACGCTCCGTTTCATGGAGGGAAGGCCAAGAAGCAACCCACAAAACCTCCCTCTTGCTTTGGTCTAGCATTTCTTTGGTCCCCATGGGTCCATCCTCATAAGATAAGCCCCTTCTCTGTCCTTATCCTCAGTCCCACTCCCAGCATTCGGTGTCCAACATTCATTCTCCCCCAGCTGCTTCTTCTGCCCATTTTATTATCTGTGGAGAAAGTATAGTTTGACTTTGGATACACACAGAGAGAAGCCCCAAACTAGGATTGGTCATTGACATCCAGGAGCAACAGTAAAATTACAAAGTCTGGGGATTGTAGGTGCCGAAGAAAGGACAGCACAGAGGTAGGAGATAAGGGTGTGCATTGAAGAGGCTGTGATCCATCCTGGTGCCAAAATGTGTGTATGAGACAAAGGAGAGGGAAGGACACACCTCACCTGTGTACCCAACTGAACAGAAGTGCCCTTGGGTCTTCTTGACGGTCCCAGTTGAGCCCAAATGAAGGGGAAGCTGCAGGAACCAAGGCCCAACCCAGCCTAAGATTGAGACCCCACCTTTTCCTTCCTTAAGTGAGATCCAAAGGGCAATCTCAGCCACAAGACGCAAGGAAGGAGAAGCCACTGGAACCTAGGCTAAGATTGAGACCTTCGCCTCCAGACCCACTCCAGTGTTTTTCTCCCTCCACCCAAGGTCCCCTTGAATATCCCTCATCTCTCTTGGGCTTTGGCTCAGGTGCGCAGGAGGAGTGCTGCCCTGAGGAAGCTGGCCACAGGTCAAGGGGCGCAAGGGTCAGGGGGCTCCTGGTGGCCCCACTGCTGCCTCAGGGCGAGGTGCTGGATGGAGTGTGGCCACGCTGGCTCTGTGGCGTTATGGGGCTGATGTGGCTGTGGGGGCCGGCGGCACTGCTGGGGAGGCAAGACCTTCGGGCAAACAGCACACCTGAAAAGGAAGAAGGAGACCACGGTTACAGTCACGCCATTCTTGGCACATCAACAGGAGTTCAGTGTCTGGACTGAGGGACGCAATAATGAAAGAGACCCCTGGGAACTATCCAGCCCAACCCCGTTCAGTCGTTCAAGGAAACATCACCAAAGCATTCTTGATGGCTATCTTTACTATAGTTCTGCTGTGGTCAGAGCAGCAGTTGTCTAGGTGTGGGTCCCAAAGGATAGCAACAAACAGGGACCAAAGGCCTAGAAACCAAACAGTTCATCAAGAATGACCTGGAGAGGTTAAAAAAAGGTCGAATTATAGAGTTGGTCAGACCATGACAATGGAAGAATATTTTGCTCTTCCACTCTGACCGTTCCGCTGTCCGCAACAAAAACTAGGTCGAGTGTATGTCCAGCCTGATGGATGGGTCCAGATATAACTTGTGAAAGCCCCATGGTCGTCATGGCAACCATGAAGTCCTGAGCCGCTCCTGTTAAAGAGGTCTCTGCATGTATGTTAAAGTCTCCCAGCACAATTAAGCACTGGGAGACCACATCTGCTAGCTCAGGCAGGGAAACTGCTGAGAAGCGGGGTGGGCGGTACACCAGCAGAATCCCCAAACTATCACGGTTCCCCATCCTCAGGTGAACACACTTGAACCCAGAAGATTGCGGTACAGCGCATCTGACCACGGCGATGGACTGCCGAAAGACTACTGCAACTCCTCCTCCCCGCCCACCAGACCTAGCCTGCTGGTGCACCCCGAAACCAGGTGGGCACAACTGGGTGAGATTTACCCCACCCAGCTTGTCCAACCAGGTCTTGGTGATACAAGCCAGGTCCACCCTCTCATCCAGGATCAAATCCTCGATGGCAGCAGTCTTTCCATTGACGGACCTGGCGTTTACCAGCAGGACTTTAAGTCTGGGGGGGTCTGCCATGGAGTCTACCACATCCCACCTTCTCCAGGGTCGCAAGAACTCTGTTGTGCTTCTCTCTGGTGTGTTTGTGACCCGCAAATCTCCTTCCCCACACAACCTGAATGGTGCCTAACTCCTCCGGAACCCCTCCCCCCCCCCCGGGAATTGAGTTCAGTGGCTAGTCAACTTTCTAAGGGAGGGGAGCTAGATTGTGAGTTATCTTGGGGGTTATGTGCAGATGTCATAATGGAAAGGGAGTCATCGAGGGAACTCAGAGGGCTAAAAAGAGGGAGTGTCCTCTGGGCGGGAGAGTGTGGCCGATTGAGTAGGGACAACTAATACAGATGGAGTTTCGAACTGATACAATTCTCCTTTGTTTGTTTGTTTGTTTGTTAGCCATGTAATTGTGAATCCAATGTAGTTGCATAGAATCTGTATGTCTGAATGTCTAAATGTTTTTCTGTAATCTGATGTACCCTCTCACACCGGAAATTGCAATAAAAAGATCCTATGCTTTAAAGTTATTGAAAAGTCATTCATCTCATTGACATGGAAACCATCCTTTGGAACTTCACCAACCCCTGCATTCTCCGTTTTGTCCCTGACAGCCCTCAGCACTAGAAACCTGCCTCGTTGTCCGTCCCTTTCAATGCAAAGGAGGAGATCTGAGAATGCAAGTTTCTGCGCATGACACCCACAAGGATGCACAGCCTGGAAGTGCTCCTATATACAGTAGAGAAAGGCCCACCGGTGATGATGCCATGGACCTGTCTCCAGGCCCACGGACATGGCGTCCCCAAGGGTCTCACTGTCGAAGGGCAGAAGAGGCGCAAAGCCCTACTTCATTACGATGGATTTTATAGTGCAAGGCAGCAGAGCGGAGGGCTATAACTTATTGGATTTCCCCTCCTGCAATTACACAAGGCGAGGGGGGCCTTCTGTTTACCTGTGTAGACAACTCCATTTATTTCTATTGACATGTTGATGCTGCTAATGCCGTTGGTGGACAGGTTCAATGCGGCTTCCTGTCTGTCATCTGGAAAACGGGAGACGGAGGGGAGAGAAGAGAGAGAGAGAGAAAGATAGGAAGGGATCAGGAAAACAGGGCAAGGAATGCATCTCATCCCCAGGCTGGCACTCACTAAGCTGGGGAATCGTATCATACTACACCACTGCACGGATGTGTGAAGCAGAGGATTGTTGTCTGATTCTGAACTGTTTGTCACAAAGCCACCCCAATAAGTTTCACAGTGACCAAAGGGGAGTGTGTGTTACACCAACTCACTGTGGCTTGTGACTAAATGATTTTATTAATACCTTGCTTGGTTGTTGTAGGTTTTTTCGGGCTATATGGCCATGGTCTAGAGGCATTTTCTCCTGACGTTTCGCCTGCAAGCATCCTCAGAAGTAGTGAGGTCACTACCTCTGAGGATACTTGCCATAGATGCAGGTGAAACGTCAGAAGAGAATGCCTCTAGACCATGGCCATATAGCCCGAAAAAACCTACAACAACCCAGTGATTCCGGCCATGAAAGCCTTCGATAATACATATCTTCCTTGCTTGCTTCTTTCCTACATGGAACCCAAAGCAGACTTCTGCAAGCACTTTTTTTTTTGAGATCTACAAGGGTTGAATGAAAAGTAATGCCTCCACCTTCGTTACTTGGGTTTGGGTGGGAATATTTTAATAAATCAAACGCAGAAATATTCCTTACAATGTGCTCTTTAACAACCACTATTCACTTTTCCACATAATCACCAGACAATTGGATACATTTCTGCTAATGACGAACAAGTTTTCTGAAGCCATCACAGAAGAAGTCGACACTCTGTTTCCACAACCAGTGTCTCAGTTCTCTCAACGTCTTCATCAGAAGCATAATGATATCTCTACAGATATTCTTTCATTATCCGGAATAAATGGAAGTCAGATGGTGCTACGCATAAATCTAGACTGTATGGAAGATGCCTTTTGCTTGTGAAACTCGGTGGTTGCTGTCACAGGACGTCCAACTCTTTGTTTGTCACGCAAGTCAGATGTTCCCACCTCAACACCTTTAAACTTACTCGTCCAATGTCACACAGTACTCACATCAACACAATCATCACAAACAGCTTGCATTCTCTGATGAATCTCCTTTGGGGTGACACCTTCTGCTGCCAAGAATTCAATGACTGCCTGTTGCTTAAGTCGCATTGACTGACCGTCTGTGCAGGGTTCCATACTTCGCACTTTAACAACAAAACTATTCAATGCTAAGGCTTCCCGACAAAATGGAACTGTAGAGGAGAGCCTACTGAACAAGCCAGTACCTACCGCATACCAGTACTGCCACCTGTTGAGGAGTTATGAAGGTGGAGGCATTACTTTTCATTCAACCCTTGTATTACCAGCTATGATCTACCCAGCTTAAAGCAAAGCTGTTGTTCAAGGCTTTCATGGCTGGAGTTATTGCATTGCTATGAGTTTTCTGGGGCTGTGTGGCTATGTTCCAGCAGCATCCTTTCCTTACGTTTTGTCTGCATCTGTGGCTAATAGCATCTTCAGAGGTCTGTTGGAAATGAAGCAAGTGGGGTAGAGATGGAAGAAAGAAGAAGATAAATAGGAAGGGAAAGAAAAAGTATTTTCCGTTGGTCAGGGGAGTTCTGTGTGCCAAGTTTGGTTCAATTCCATCATTGGTGGGGTTCAGAATGCTCTTTGATTGTAGGTGAACTATAAATCCCAGCAACTACAACTCCCAAATGACAAAATCATTTATTTTTTTTAGTGATTGTCACCCCTTGTGTCGTGAGATGTTTTGTTGTCAAATTTGGTGTGATTTCGTTCATTGGTTCTTTTGTTTTTAAGGTACTCATTACGCACAGAGCATTTTTATATATATAGCTATAGCTATAGCTATAGACACACACACACACACATTCCACTTGCTTCACTACCAACAGAACCTATGAAGATGCCATTAGCCACAGATGCGGGTGAAACATCAGGAGAGAATGCTGCCAGAACAGAGCCATACAGCCTGAAAAACTCATAGCAACCCATTTTGGCTTTCTTTTGTTAGATTTTGGAATATTTGTATACACATAATGTGATGGAAGTCAGAATTCAGAGTCTCCAGAGTCGTAGCCCAATGCTCAAACCAGACACCGTGCCGGATCTTTGCCACCGCCCAACTACAAACCCCAGCGTTCCCCGGGAGCATGGAAGAAATATCAAAACGGGTGCAATGAATGCAATGTAGAGACCCCCCCCCACCTGAGCCCTTCCAAGGGGACTCACCGCCACGGTTGTTGATCTTGATGTTGACCGGGAACTGGGAGGCCATGGCCAGGAGGTTCTGCTGGAGGGCGTGCTGCACCAGCCGCTGCTGCTCCTCGGCCACCAGCGCCATCTTCTTCTCTGGCGGCTCCCCCGTCTCCAGCTTCTCTCGGAGCTGCTCCAGCGCAACCGCCTGTGAGGCCGCCGCTTGCGCCGCCACCAAGTGGTGCCCGGACAGGGAGACGGGGATGGCCAGGCGGCTGGGCACCGCTGCTGAAAGGATGCTGTCTTCTGTGAAAGAAAGATGGAAGGATAGAGGGTAGCCAAGAGACAGAGGAAGGAAATGCCATTATAGGTGTCGCACCTCAGAGTAGAACCACCTTGATTATGACACCAAAGAACACACCAGCAGTAGTCTTTATAGTTTTTGTGCAGGTACAGCTGTGCCAGGAGCTCCAGTTTTGTTTGCTTTGCATTGAATGTTTGTTGTAGTCCTAAGTTTCAGGGACTCTGCAGATAGGTGGCTTTTTTGGCTGCAATCATAGGGTAAGCCACCTGTCAATTATAGTTAGGTTCCCTGGTCCCGCCCCCTTTTTGGGTTTTGGAGGGAATAGGAGCCATTTTGGGTTCAGTCCACACAGAGAAGCCTTTCATGCAGGACATAATACCAAGAGCTCCTGGAGAAAGCTTCGTTTTCTATGGCTTGGCCGGGGAGATATACAGCCCACAGCTTGGCCAGAAGATATACAGCCTTACAGCTCCTTCACTGAGGGACTTCAGCCAGCCATCACTGAAACCTGAACTCCCTTTTCCCTGGAAGTCTACAAAGTAGGGCTGGGCAACCACGGAAAAAATTGTTTCTAAACTCAATTCGTTTTTAGGGGGTTTTTGCGTTTCGTTTTTTAAAAGAATTCCGAAATTTTTCTTTAAAAAAGTTCGATATTTACGAAATTTCGGAAATTACGAAACAATAACAATTACGAAACAATTACGAATCGATTCGTTAATGGCGGACGCGATTGCGCAATACGCTAAAAAAACCTCCAAATGGGACAGGGGGAACTTCTGAAGCTTCCCTCTCCCTCTGTTGTTGACTGTTGGTGTGATAATTTATTTTTTTATCACTGATAAAACAAACAACAACTATAAAACTTGCACCAGACATACGGAAATAATAACGAAACAATAACGAAACGGTTTCAAAACAGTTACGAATCGATTACGAAACAATTTCGAAACAATTACAAAACGAATTCAAAAATTCGTTTCTATTTTTAGTTGTTCCTGAATGGTTCAATATCGCTTCGTTATCAAAAAATAACGAATTAATAACGAATTACGAAATTAACGAACGAAACCGCCCAGCCCTACTACAAAGCTCTGCTTGGTAAGGGTCACTCGCGGAAGCCAGACGCAGTTGGTACCGGGTGCAGGGGCTCCACGCCAACAGAGGCAAAGACAGACTGCCCAGATTAGAAGTTAAGGATTTCCCCATTAGTTACAGTTTATGAAGATAGTGCCTGTTCCCCGTGGGCAAGATTGAGAGAGAGAGAGCCAATAGACTGTTAAGAAAGCCTTAAAGTACCTGTTTGTTTTCAATAATAAAGAACTTTGTTGAACCTTTAAGCAATCTAAAGACTCTGTTTTAAGGAAATCCAAAGGCCTTTAATCTGAGGCAGCCCCGGCGTCCCGTTGGGCACACAGAATTTATGTCCTGTCTACAGTCTTATGCACAGACCCAGCGTGCGACAGCATAGTTTTATTAAAATAAAAGATAAAATGTTTTAAAAGCAAAAGTATATTTTAAAAGATCCAAGGTAACATAGGCAAACAAGATCCATGAAGACACAGGCAAGGCAAAGTCCCAAGAGAACATGACAAAGTCCTGAAACATGAGCATGAAAGCTACAAGATAAATCCAAAGTCTCTGGGTTGAAGCGGGATGTTGCTCTGACACTGAGGCACATTTAAACAACCTGTTTAATACTCTTGGGCCAACATGAAGGTGTTCCCATGGCCTCGGACCTATCTCTCTCACCTGACGATCCTGACACTCCTTCGCACTTTCAATTCCAAGCGATCAGCTCTATCTATCTAAACCACCTGTTGGGGTTCAGCCTGAGTGTGAACCTGAACCTGATTCTCTGATTGTATTTCCTGATGCCAATGTAGATGTCAATGTGAATTCTGAGGCCAATTTAGATGATGAAGGTTTGAGTATTGAAAATCCTACAGCCTTGGAAAGTGAAATCAGAATTCCCATGAGAACATGCATTCCGAGCCGAGCGGAGAAGTTTTACTCCCTTTTCCTCCCTTCAGTGATTTGCTCTTCTCCGCACTCGCATGTCATGGATTCCACTTTGTGGCCCCATTTCTTGAGGGCCACATCTTGTGGTGCCAGAACGCAGTCTGTTCAGCACCTTCCAAGTCGCCCAGTCTTCTGTGTGCCCAGGAGGGAGTCTCTCATTTGGTATCAGTCATTGGTTGAGGTTCTGGGTTTGAGCCTGCCACTTTTGGACTCTCGCTTGCTGAGGTGTTCCAGCGAGTGTTCTCTGTAGATCTTACGAAGCCATTTCTTGATTTAAGATGTTGTCATTCTGGCTGACATCCAAACAGAGGATGTGCCGGAGATGTCAATGCCTTGGTTCTTTCATTAATGGCTGCTACTTCCTGACGGATGTCAGGTGGTGCAATACCGGCTAAACAGTATAATTTCTCCAGTATTGCAGGGTGTAGACATCCTGTGATAATGCAGCATGTCTCATTAAGAGCCACATCCACTGTTTTAGCGTGGTGAGATGTGTTCCACACTGGGCATGTTACTCAGCAGCAGAGTAGCATAGCGCAAGGGCAGATGTCTTCACTGTGTCTGGTTGTGATCCCCAGGTTGTGCCAGTCAGCTTTCGTATGATATTGTTTGTAGCACCCACTTTTTGCTTGATGTTCAGGCAGTGCTTCTTGTAGGTCAGAGCACAGTCCAGAGTGACTCCCGGGTATTTGGGTGCGCTGCAATGCTCCAGTGGAATTCCTTCCCAGGTAATCCTCAAAGCTCGGGATGCTTGTCTGTTTTTGGGATTACTTCTACTGATCTTGGACTCGTGTGTGCATTGCATCTTTTATTCTGACTGTATTTTTGGATTTGCCTCTTTTCCCTCTTTTTATCTACTTTCTTAATAAACATTTTGTGATTGGATTCCCGCACTCTGTTGTGCTGGGTGAAAGGGTGTTCCAGTGCTAGGGTGCAACACCTGTTTCTAGACCAAACATAGGTCAACTTGGCCCCTCCCTCCAGGTGTTTTGGACTTCAACTCCCAGAATTCCTAACAGCCGCTAGGCTGTTAGGAATTGTGGGAGTTGAAGTCCAAAACATCTGGAGGGAGGCCCAAGTTGGCCCAGGCCTACACTAGAAAATAAAAGATCCTTTTCTGTCCAGGTGGGATGCAATTGCAAAGTTTCCAAACTCTTTGACTGGCCGACTGCCTGTGGATTCTGGAAGTTGGAGTCCAAACCTGTAACATCTGGCTAAGGAAAATTCAGTGATTTATAGTCTAAAGAAGGTGGGGCATTCCCTGTTAGAATTTGATAAAATGTAAAGGCATATCCAGGTGATATATTGCTGAGTTAGTAGGACAAACAAGTATCTGATGCAACCAGAACTGTGTGTGCTTGCATCAGGTTGTGAATGAAGAAACCACGAATGTATCATTGCCTCATATGGATGAGTATCAAAGAAGGGCAGACACCAAGTATTGGCTGATGGTCCTGCAGGATGGAGAAAAGTTATATGCATAGGAAAACTTGCTACGGAAAGGAGAGGAAGGAGAGTGTGCATATTTGTATATAGCTGTTTGTGTCTGTGTTGCCAAACTTTAATATAAAGAGCCTTCCTACTGCGGAACGAACCTTGGCTCTCTGCTGTGTTAGCTGTTCCTTCAGGTACTGCCTGGGCACTTAAAAGAATTTAGAGACTTCCTTGCACTCTGCACATGGGTCGAATTTAGAGACTTCCTTGCACTCTGCACATGGGTCGAATTTAGAGACTTCCTTGCACTCTGCACATGGGTCGAATTTAGAGACTTCCTTGCACTCTGCACATGGGTCGAATTTAGAGACTTCCTTGCACTCTGCACATGGGTTGAACAGAGCATGGCATTTTTCCCAATGCAAAGCATGCATCTCCCCGACCTCAAGTCCCCAGGTAAGTCTCCTCACCTTTCTTGATGGCGTGGACCTGTCCGATCTGGTTGCAGTTGTGGGCGGAGATGGTGAGGGAGGGCATGGGGATTTTGGGAGGTGATAAGAGGGTCCCCGGGGTGCCCACCGGGGAGTAGCTGAAGAGCGCTGTCCCAAAGGTCTGCCGCCGGCCCTCCCTCCGGTTGCTGTCGATGGCAGCCTGGAGTTCGCCTGGAGAGCTGAGAGCCCGCTTGTCACATTCGTAGGGATAGAGGTATTTCATGTATCTGCCATGCAGAAGGTAAGAAAGGAAAGGAAGGGCAGTGAGCAAAGCAACAGTGAAAAAGGCCAATGCAATTATAGGATGCATCCATAGGAGTCTAGCGTCCAGGGCAGGCATGGGCAAACTTGGGCCCTATTTTGGACTTCAACTCCCACATAGTCTGTCTTTTTCTAGGAGTCACTATCTATCTATCTATCTATCTATCTATCTATCTATCTATCTATCATCTATCTATCTATCTGGCTTGGTTAGGTACTGTTGGAATCTTTGGAGTTGAGAATAAAGTCAGAAAAATTACCTTTTTGAAACGATTTTGAAGTTTTTAAGAAAACCAGAAGTCCCTTTGTCCTTCCGAAGCATCTCTCACCATTTTTCTTCCAACTCAGGAAGTGAGTCGGAAGTGACTCAGTGTTTGGAGGCAAGCAGCTTGCATGCTAGGATGCTTGCCTCCCAGACAATGTGGGGAGAAGTTTTGGAGAGGGGAGAGAAAGGGTTTCGGCACGGTAGCCATCGCGCTATACAAAGAGCAGCACATGGCTCAGAGGCTCATTGTGAGCCCGAGAAGGGAAGGGGAAAGTGAATGGGAAGGGAGGGTGTGAAGGGAGGTTGGAAGAAGAGCGGTTGGAAGAGCAGGGAAAGTGGAGAAGGGCTGGGAGCAGGGCTGTTGCCTGCCTGCCTGCCTGCCTTGCAACTGCTTGTGTGTTGTTGCTGTTGGGAGGGGAGGGGGGGGAGAAGAGCAGGGCAGCAGAGAACCAGGGCAATTGCGTCCGCCATTAATGAAGTGATTCGAAATTTTGGAAAGTTCCAAAATTATTTTCGGAAACATTCGGAATTCTTTTCCGAACCAAACCACTAGCACCCCCTACATCCGAAATAAGTTTGGAACCATTTTTTGGATCAACCAAGCCATATATATGTTGGGGTTCAGCCTGAGTTTGAACTTGAACCTGATTCTCTGTTTGTTCCTCCTGATGCTAATGAAAATATATTTACTGATGCTAATGAAAATGTACCTCTTGATGCCAATGCTCCTGAAATTAGTGAGGAAGAAACTTCTGTAGGTTTGGAAAATGCCAATGTTCCTGAAATTAGTGAGGAAGGAACTTCTGTAGATTTGGAAAATGAAAGTACCAGTGTTCATGAGAATGTTTCAGAGGGAAGCCATGACCTTTCACTCCCTTCTGCACCTGGTAACTTTAATGACAACAGAAGGGGCCAGATTTGGCAAGACAGAAGTAAATCACTCAGCTTGCGAAGGTCTTCCCGAATTAAAGAATTACAAACATTGGCTTCAAAGCAGAGGGGCGGTTCACGGAACCAATTCTTTGGCTTTAATTGCCTTCCGCCGGGCTGACTTTCTCAGTTCAGGCATCGTTTCAGATTGATGAAGACCTTGGCAGTTCTCCCGGTTTCCCTGGCCATGGTCTTGAAAGATTTCTAGGATATCAAGCACGGTTAGTGGATTGCTAACAGGTTCCAGTATTTTACAGTGTGGCTTTGGGTTTTGCTTTGTCCATTTAAATTCATGTTTGCTGATTTTGCTGTGGCTTTTGACTTGCATTTTTCCTTTATTTTGTAACCATTTTTCTTCAGTAAAAAAGGATTGTTTTTCACAGTCAAGTGTGGTGGATAGTTATCTTGGGGTCTTGTTCCCTACTCTGGATTGCAACAATATATATATGATCCAAAAAGATGGTTCAAAATTCGTCTCGGATGTAGGGGACATATATATATACACACACACACACACACACAAAAGGAGGAAGGCTTGAATGATGTCTTTCTGACTGGCAGAAGGGGGTGAGACTGGATGGCCTTTGGGTGTCCCTTCCAACTTTGGTGCTCGCCTACTCACCAGCCCTCCCTCAAAACCAAGGGAGTGCCCACTCACTGCGTCCGGAGGGTGAAGGCGGCGCTGGTGATGGAGGTGGGCAGGTTGAGTCCTTTGGTGATCTCCCTCCAGATCTTCTTGTTGATGACCTCCACCAGGCCCCCTTTCTCGGTCACCAACCGGTAGAGCGTATACAGGTCCAGCACCTGCTTGGCCATGATGGGGATCCGGTTGACAGGCGTCCCTATGGAAAGGGAGGAAGATGGAAAAAGAGACACTTATGTGACCAACTTTTTTCCCCCTCAATCTCCAAAGTGCTAGAAATATTCTTTGTGTGCAGATATTCTGGCTTCACACTGAAATCTTTGAATGGGTGCCATAATGTGTATACAGTCATAAAACACGAATGTGCTCCCATAATTAAATCAAATATTAATTTGCCCAGATATTTTCCTAACTACTGGTCTAATCAGTTAACCTGTCAGTCGGTCTAATGAAATATGTTTATGGCTGTTTTGTTGTTTTATTACTTAAGCCGATTACATCTTTCAGAGTCTGCCGCTGCAAAACGGGCTTCTGCGATGGAAAGAGGTCCAAAAATGTCTGAATATCGGTGCTTTCAATCTGTTCGCATCTTTTTTATATATATATAATAGTTTTTATTAAGATTTTAAAAATAACATCGAAAGAGGGAGAATATTAAAAAAGATGATAGGAAAGTAGGAAAAAAATAAGAAGTACATCCCCCTACCCCCAAGTCCACCAAAAAATACTAACATATCTATAAAAAAAGAAGAAGAAAAACAAGAGAAAAAAGAAAAAAAAGAAAAGATAAAAATTGACTTCCATCTCTCCATCAGGTGTGTCCTCAATGATATTTGTTCGCATCTTATGACAACCCTAAAAGGAAAGTATTCCAAGGTTTATTTGGCAATGGCTTGCAACCATTGTCTTATTTCTTTATTTATTTATTTACCGTACTAGCTGCACCCGCCACGCATTGCTGTGGCCAACTTTTCCTCCCTCTTTCTCTTCTTTCCTTCTCTCCTTCTTTCTCTACCTCGTTCCTTCCTTCCTTCTTTCCCTTCTTCTTCCTTCCTTCCTTCCTTCCTTCCTTCTCTACCTGTTTCTTTTCTCCCTTTGCTCTTTGGTTCCCTCTTCCTTGTCTTTTTCCTTCCTTCCTTCCTTCCTTCCTTCCTTCCTTCCTTCCTTCCTTCCTTCCTTCCTTCTCTACCCTTCTTTATTTCCTTGCTTCTCTCCTTCCCTCCTTCTTTCCCTCCTTCTCTCCTTCCTTCCTTCTCTATCCTTCTTTCTTTCCCTCCTTCTCTCCTTCCTTCCTTCTCTACCCTTCTTTCTTTCCTCCCTTCTCTCCTTCCCTCCTTCTTTCCTTCCTTCTCTCCTTCCTTCCTTCTCTACCCTTTTTTCTTTCCTTCCTTCCCTCCTTCTCTCCTTCCTTCCTTCTCTACCCTTCTTTCTTTCCTTCTCTTCTTTCCCTCCTTCTCTACCCTTCTTTCTTTCCTTCATTCTCTCTTTCCTTCTTTCCTTGCTTCTCTCCTTCCCTCCTTATTTCCCTCCTTCTCTCTTTCCTTCCTTCTCTTCTTCCTTCCCCCTTTCTGTGTATGTGTTGTGTGTGTATATGCATATATGTTTGTTTGTGTATATATATGTGGTTTTGCGTTGTAATGCATTTTGGGATAATTTCTTTTGGCTTTTTAAGTCTTCTGCTGTGTTTTTCAGAGTTTTTATGAGTGATGGTCACTCGTTGGCCTGAAAGGTGTCTTGCATCCAAATTTGGTGTTAGTTTGCCCAGTGGTTTTTTAGTTATGTTAATCCCACAAACGAACATTACATTTTTATTTATATAGATTTATGCTCTGCCTTTCTCACCTCTGAAAGGGACTCAAGGCGGCTTAAATAAAGGCAATTATTCAATGCCTTAGAGCAAAATACAATTCCTCTGAGGCTGAGAGAGTGTGACTTGCCACTTAGTCTCCTTGGTCAAACAGGGCATCAAACCTCTTAAAAAAGTAATACTTAGAACCACTTTAAAGGATCCATTGAGAGAGGAGTTTGTGGGCATCTACACTTTAGAATGAATGCATCAATGATATAAAGTCCTGGAAACTGTAGTTTGGTGAGGCATCAGAAGAAGCTAAAGACCTTGTAAAACTACAAATCCCACGATTCCATAGCATTGAGCCATGGCAGTTAAAGTGGGGTCAAACTGCATGCATTTGAGTATATTTTGCATCCCTTATGTACTAGCCTGCAAATGTAATAAACAATTACTTCCCTCCAGCAGGGGGCACCAAAATGAGAAAGAGCAACTATACATTGAGGATGCATCTACATTGCAGAATTAATGCAGATCAACACCGCTTCAATTGCAGTTTGTCAATGACACAAAATCGTGGGATGTGGGTCATGTATTTTCCAGCCTGGCAGAAAGAAGGGGGCTGGACTGGATGACCTTTGGGGTCTCTTCCAACTCTAGGATTCCATTATTCTATGACACTGTGATGCTATCTTCTTCTCCTTTTCAACTCATCTACACTGCCATTATAATGCAGATTGAACTGAAAATGATGGTGATGATGATGAGGAGGAGGAGGAGGAGGAGGAGGAGTTCATTATCCACCTCTCTCTGCAGCTCGAGGTGGGATACAACATCAATAAATCAAGACATAAAACACTACTGCAAGGCATACAACAAGACACACAAAATTAAAATCCAAGTCAAAATCCACTGATAAAATACAAATTAGAATCCACAACTTAAAACTGACTGGGTGTGATACGAGTGTAGACTCATGTAATGCACTGAACTGGATTATATCACCATATAATGCAATATAATCTGCATTATAGTGGCAATGTAGTCTTCTCCTTTTCATCCTTCTCTTCTTTGTTCCTCTTCTATCTTCTCCTTATTCTTGTCCCCTTTCCTCTTCTCTTGTTTCCTCCTCTTCTTTGTTCTTACTTTTCTCCTTCTCCTTTCTTTCTTCTCCTTCGCCTTTCCCCCTCTACCCTCCTTCTCCTCCCTTATTCTTCTTCCATTTCCCCTTCTGTCTAACTCCTCCGCTTTCGCCTCCTCTTCTTTTCTTTTTCTCTTTGCTCCACCTCCATATCCTTCTCCTTTTCTTCCCCTCCATCTCTTCGTATCCTTCTCTTTTCTTTTTCTTTTCTTTCCCCTCCTTTTCTTTTTCTTCTTTTTATTCCTCCCTCCACCTCTTCTTCTCCTCCTGCTTTTCTTCTCCATCTTCTTTCCTCCTCTGTTTTCTCCTTTTTCTTCTCTTTTTCCTTTTCCTTTTTTTCTTATTTCCTCCTCCCTCCTCCTTTTCTTCTTTTCTTCCTCTTCTCCTTTCTTTCTCCTTTTCTTCCTTTCTCCTTCCTATCCTCCTTCTCCTTCTTCTCCTTATTCTTCTTCCATTTCCCCTTCATTCCTTACTCCTCCTCTCTTTCACCTCCTCTTCTTTTCTCTTTCTCTTTGCTCCACATCCATCTCCTTCTCCTTTTCTTCTCCTCCTTTTCTTCTTATCCTTCTCCTCCTCCTTCCTTTGCCCTCCTTCTCTTTTCTTTGTCTTTTCTTCTCCACTCCTTCTCTTTTCCTTTTTTCATTCCTCCCTCCTCCTTTTCTTCTTCTCCTGTTTTTCTTGTCCATCTTCTTTCCTCCTCTTTCTTCTTATTCTTTTCCTCTTCCTTCTTCTCTTATTTCCTCCTCCTTTGCTTTCTTCTTCCTTTTCTCCTCCTTTCTTTCTTGTCATTTTCTTCTTTTTTCCCTCCATCTTCTCTTTTTTTCTTTTCCCATTTCCTCATTCAGTCTCCTCTATACTTCCTCCTCTCTTTCTCCTCCTCTTCTCCTTTCGCTCTTTTCATCAATCTTCATATTTTTCTCCTATCTTTCCCCTCCATTTACACTTCTTATCCTTCTCTTCCTCCTCTTCCTTTCTTCTTCCTTTTCTTTTTTGCCTTTCTTTCTTCTTTTCTCCCTTCTTCATCTTTTCCTCTACCTTCTCATCTTCTCCCCTTTTCTTCTCCCATTTCCTTTTTCTGTCTCCCCTATACCTCCTCTTCTCATTCTCCTTTTTCTCTTTTCTTCCAACTCTATATTCTTCTCTTCCCCTCCATTTCCTCTTGTCCTTTTCTTCCTTCTTCCCTCCTCCTGTTCTTCTCATTTCTTTCTCCATCTTTTTTTATCCTCTGTCTTCTCATTTTCTTCTTCCTTCTTCTCTTCTTTCCTCCTCCTTGTCTTTCTTCCTCTTTTGTTATTCTCCCTTAGCTTTCCTCAACCCTTCTTCTACACTTCTCCTCTTATCCCTTTTTTGTGCTTCTCCTTCTCTAGCTTTCCTCAACCCTCCTTCTCCTCTTCTCCCTTTTTTGTTCTTCTCTAGCTTTCCTCAACCCTCCTTCTCCTCTTCTCCTCTTTTTGTTCTTCTCCTTTAGCTTTCCTCAACCCTCTTTCTCCTCTTCTTTCTTCTTTCCCATCCCCCCTTTCTATCTCCTCTATACTTTCTCTCATTTTCCCTCCTTTTCTCCTTTTCTTTTCCTCTTTTCTTTCAACCTCATATTCTTCTCCTTTTCTCCTCCCCTCCTCTTCCTCTTCTTCTTCCTCTCCTCCTTTTTCTTCTCTTCTTCCCTTTATCGTTTCTCCCCCCTTCTCTTCCCCTTCTTTTCATGCCTCCCTCCTCCCTTTCTTCTTCTCCATCTTCTTCCCTCTTCCCTCTTCTTCCCTCCTCCTCTTCTCTTTCCTTTCTCCTCCTGGGGTACTTAGCTAATGAATCCCTCCCATTCCATTCTCCGGAGCTAGATGATGCTTTTATCAGTTTAGCAATCCCAAAGCCTGGCCAGCGCACTTTCGTAATCTTCCTAGGAGACAATGGCTCTGCTGCTGGATGGAAAGATTTCTCTTAAGGCAGGCATGGGCCAAGTTCAGCCCTCCCTCCAGGTGTTTTGGACATCAACTCCCACCATTCCTAACAGCTGGTAGGCTGATCTTAAACTGAAATCAATTCCAATAACCTGGTGGCATTGACGAGCCTTCAATGCACATCCAGAGCTAATTAACCACTTCTGGGATCAACAAGCAAAAGCCGTTGCCATCTCTTTTGGGTCCCTCATTCTCCATGGAGATCCCTTCTGACCCCCTTTGGCCTCCCCAGAATTTGGAAAGCAGCCCCAAGACACAGCTGGAGGAATGACCCCATCCCATCCAATGGTGCTTGTCTATAAAGCCATTCCCCTCCC